CAGAGTGTGGGACATCACATGGCAAGAGAGCAAGAGCATGCCATCCTAGGTCTCTCTTCCTCCTATAAAGCCACCAGTTCATCATGCCCGCCCCCCCACCACCACCACCACCGATGACCAACACACAAATTTTGAAGGACACATTCAAACCACAGCAGTGCCACACCACCATACGCTGATGAAACTTTTAAGGGTTTACTCACACTAACCAAACTCACAAGATAGGTCCTGGTATGTTAATTAACAGAAGAGAGAATATACCTCTCAAACAAAGGTCATAAACAGGAGGGCTGCAGGCTGAATTGAATTCACATACATTGTCTAGAGTACACAGTGCTGTTTGTCAATTTTTAAAAATGTAGGGGGCCGGGCGCGGTGGCTTATGCCTGTAATCCCAGCACTTTGTGAGGCCAAGGCAGTTGGATCACCTGAGGTCAGGAGTTCGAGACCAGCCTGACCAACAAGATGAAACCCCATCTCTACTAAAAATATAAAACTTAGCCGGGTGTGGTGGCAGGCACCTGTAGTCCCAGCTACTCGGGAGGCTGAGAGAGGAGAATTGCTTGAACCCGGGAGGCGGAGGTTGCAGTGAGCTGAGATCGCACCACAGCACTCCAGCCTGGGCAACAGAGCAAGACTCTGTCTCAAAAAAAAAAAAAAAAAATTTAAATGGAGCACAGTCTCTCCAATTTACCTCCCACCACTCCCTGTTGCGTCAAACCTAACCAGCTTCATTCCCTTATAGTATCTGTCAGGTCCCTGAAGGCATATGAGTTTTTGACCCTTACATTAAGTTGTCATCACAGGTTGAAGTCCCCAGCAAGCACACTCTTAGATGGAGTTTACTGTGTAGGATGTTTACTAGGGAATGCCCAGGGATCAACACCTGTGGAAGAGAAAGGAAGGAAACAAGATTAGACAGGAGGCAGCTGGGCAAAGTGGCTCACACCTGTAATCAATCCCAGCACTTTGGGAGGCCGAGGCAGGTGGATCACCTGAGGTCAGGAGTTCAAGACCAGCCTGGACAACATGGCGAAACCCCATCTCTACTAAAAATACAAAAATTAGCCAGATGTGGTGGTGTGCACCTGTAGTCCCAGCTACTCGAGAGGCTGAGGTATGAGAACTGAACCTGGGAGGCAGAGGTTGCAGTAAACCAAGATTGCACCACTGTACTCCAGCCTGGGTGACTCAGCAAGACTCCATCTCAAAAAAAAAAAAAAAAAATAGGAGGAGAAAAGAGCAGCAATGCAGGTGTTAAAAAGCTTCTGCTCACTCAGTGGCTGGCTCTGGCATTCACATGACCTGTCCGTTGTCCTACATTGGGCCAAAGGGCAGGCCTTCATATGCCCGCTTCAATAAGTCACTGGCTCTGGGCCACGCCATGAAGGGCTTGACCTTGGGTGAGATGTCTGTCTCAAGCTGAGGCAATCCCTGAAGGAACTGACGGCTGAAGAAGGCTCTTGGCTGACAGCACTTTTAGCAGCTGGCAGTAAATCCTTCCTTGAAGGGGGATCTCAGTGACACAGTTCTGTGTCCATCACAGGTGTCTTTCTCCCATGAATAGTGCAGGCAAAACACTTACAAATCCTTATTCTGATTCCACCCCCACCTTTCTTTTTTTGAGGCAGGGTCTTGCTCTGTTACCCAAACTGGAATGCGGTGGCACAATCACGGCTCACTGCAACCTCGAACTTCTGGGCTCAAGCAATCCTCTCTCTTCAGCTTCCTGAATAGCTGGGACCATAGGCATGCACCACTACACCTGGCTAATTTTTAAATTGTTTTGTAGAGAGTCTCGCTATATTGCACAGGCTGGTCTCAAACTCCTCGGCCCAAGTGATCCTCCTGCCTCAGCCTCCCAACGTGCTAAGATTACAGGCGTAAGCCACCACGCCCATCCCAATTCCCTCCCCCACTCCTTACTTAAGACCAATTACACTTCATTTTATTAGGTTTATAACTTTCTTCAATGTCACCATCTTAGGACACATGCTAGTAGACTTTAAATAGACTTCAGTGTTTCATAAGCCTCATTAGTGCCCATTAATAAACTCTCTCCAAGGACATGTTGTGTCACATATGCAAATGGCTAAATCAATCCATCATAAAATACCATGAATAAAATGTCGCTACCATCTATCAGTCACCCACAATGGGCCAGGCATTGTGTGCTCCTCCATCCATTTGTTTTATGCTTCCATTCAACAAATGTCTAATGAGCTCCTACAACATGCTGGGTGGCGCATTAGGATCTGAGGGTAGAGTAGTGACTGAGGGAGGCACAATGCCTGCCCTTATGGAGTTTACCATCCAGTGGAGCCACTGCTGAGACCAATTCATACAGCATCCCTGGGAACCAGGACCAATGGACCTCATGTTTCTGTTATCTAAAGGTCACTACCCTGGCTATGAACTCCTCTGGTCAGCACTTACTTCATACTCTGCTCTGCTACCTAATCTTCCCTGCTCCTCTTCCTCCCACCGTTTTCAACTGTGGCTTCTTGGAACCCCAATTCCAGGGTGTCTTAGTCCATTTTGTGTTGATAGAATATATGAGACTGGGTAATTTATAAAGAAAGGAAGTTTCTTTAGCTCACGGTTCTGCAGGCTGAGAAATTCAAGGAAATGGCCTTGGCTTCTAGCAAGGGCTTTTGTGCTGTGTCACAACATGATGAAGAAGGTCTAAGGGGAAGTGGATATGTGCAAAGAAGAGAAAACCTGAGGGGCATCCTGGCTTTATAACAACACACTGTCACAAGAACGGATTCATTCCTGAGAGAATTCATCCAGTCTCACCAGAGTGAGAACTTGCTACCACCAGATCAGCACCAAGCCATTCATGATGGAGCTGCTCCCATGACTCAAACACCTCCCACTAGCCCCACCTCCCAACATTTGGGGATCAAATTTCAACATGAGTTTTGGTGCAGACAAACAAACTACATCTAAATCATAATATTTCAACCCTGGGCTCCCCAAAACTAGTGTCCTTCTCACATACAACCTACGATCATTCTATCCCAATAGCCCCAAAAGTCTTAACTTGTTCCAGCACCAACATAAAAGTCCAGTCTCATCTGAGACTCAAGGCAAGTTCCTAACAGTTATAAGTCTGTAAAATAAAAAATCAAGTTATTGGCCAGGCACGGTGGCTCACGCCTGTAATCCCAGCATTTTGGGAGGCCGAGGCGGATGGATCACGAGGCCAGGAGATCAAGACCATCCTGGCTAACATGGTGAAACCCCGTCTCTACTAAAAATACAAAACAAAATTAGCCTGGTGTAGTGGTGGGCGCTTGTAGTCCCAGCTACTCAGGAGGCTGAGGTAGCAGAATGGCATAAACCCAGGAGGCGGAGCTTGCAGTGAGCCAAGATTGCACCACTGCACTCCAGCCTGGGCAACAGAGCAAGACTCCATCTCAACAACAACAAAAAAATCAAGTTATTTACCTCCAAGATACAATGGTTGTACAAGCATTGGGCAAACACACCCATTCCAAAAGAGAAAAATCGGACCCAAAAAGGGGGGTAACAGGCCCATACAAGTTCAAAATCCAGCAGGGCAGATATTAAATCTTAAAGCTCCAAACTAATCTTTTACTCCATGTACCACTTCCGATGTACACTGGTGCAAGGAGTGGGCTCCCAAGGCCTCAAGCAGCCCTGCCCCATGGCTTTGCTGAATACGACCCATGTGGCTGCTCTCACAGATTGGAGTTGAATGCCTGTGGCTTTTCCAGGCTGAGGTTGCACACTGCCAGTGGGTCTATAATTCTGGGGTCCCCATGGCAGCCCTACTCCCATAGGTCCACTAGGCATTGCCTCATGAGCACTTTCTGTGGAGGTTCTGCCCCTGCAGCAGGCTTTTGCTTGGGCACCCAGGCTTTCCGATACATCCTCTGAAATCTAGGTGAAAGCTGCCAAGTCTCCATGGCTCTTGCATTCTGGGCTCTCACAGACTTAACACAACATGGAAGCCACCAAGGCTTATGGGTTGCACTCTCTGAAGTGATGGCCCAAGCAGTACCTGGGGCCACTGAGCTTCAGCCAGACTCAGAAACAATGTAGCAGGGATCTGAGGAGCAGTGTCCTGAGGTGGAGCAGGGGCAGCAGTGCTCAGGCCTTACCCCAGAAACCATTCTGTCCTCCTAGGCCTCCAGGCATATGACGGGAAAAGAAGCCTTGAAGATTTCTGAAATGCCTTCAGGGTCTTTTTCCCCATTGTCTTGACTTTAGCACCTGGCTCCTTTTGGTTTCCTATCCTGAAAATGCTCTTTTCTTCTATGCCATTTGGCCAGGCTATGCATTTTCCAAATTTTTCTGCTGTGTTTCCCTTTTCTCCAGAAATTCACCGTAAGCAGTTGGAAGTAACCATGCAGCAGCCTGAACATTTTGCTGCTTAGAAATTTCTTCCACCAGGTATTCTATTAAATTCCATCTTAGATGGAGCAGGGATCTCCTGCCCCTGCCACTTCAATTCTGTAGTAAGCCTTCCACAGAGCCTTTGGGCATAGATGTAGTTCATCCAAGTTCTTTGTCAATTTAAGACAAGGATGGCCTTTACTCCAGTTTCCAATACGTTGTTCCTCATTTCCATCTGGAACCTCACCAGAATGGCCTTTACTGTCCATATTTCCATCAGCATTCTGGTTGGGACCATTTAACCAATCTCTGAAGGGTTCCAGACCTTCCATAGTGGTCTTGTCTAATAAGCCCTCACCAGAATCTTGTTTTTTCTAGCCTGCTCTTCCAAATTCTTCCAACCTCTGCCCATTACCCATTTCCAAAGCTGCTTCCACATTTTCAGGCATTTCTTATCACTAACACTTTACTTCTCAGTATCAATTTCCTGTCTTAGTCTGTTTTGTGTTGCTATAAAAGAATACTTGAGTTTTTCCGTCCACTCCCCCTCTCCCACCAGCACCACTTCGGCTGCACTGAGCTTGCTCCGAGCTCTGGGCTCCTGCTAATCTAGCACCGCCATTGTCTCCCTTCAGCCGCCATCATGATTATCTACTGGGACCTCATCAACGACGATGAGATGTTCTCCGACAGCTACAAGATCCGGGAGATCACAGACGGGCTGTGCCTGGAGGTGGAGGGGAAGATAGTCAGTAGGACAGAAGGTTACATTTTTGACTTGCTCATTGGTGGAAATGCCTCCGCTGAAGGCCCTGGGGGCAAAGGTACTGAAAGCACAGTAATCACTGGTGTCAATATTGTCATGAATCATCACCCGCCAGAAACAAGCTTCACAAAAGAAGCCTACAGTAAGTGCATCAAAGATTACATGAAATCAATCAAAGGCAAACTGGAAGAACAAAGACCAAAAAGAGTAAAACCCTTTATGACAGGGGCTGCAGAACAAATCAAGCACATCCTTGCTAATTTCAAAAACTACGAGAAAACATGAATCCAGATGGTTGCTCTGCGGACTACCATGAGGATGGTGTGACTCAATATATGATTTTCTTTAAGGATGGCTTAGAAATTGAAAAATGTTAACAAATTTGGCAATTACTTTGGATCTATCACCTGTCATCATAACTGGCTTCTGCTTGTCATCCACACAACACCAGGACTTAAGACAAATGGGACTGATGAAATCTTGAGCTCTTCATTATTTTGACTGATTTATTTGGAGTGGAGGCATTGTTTTTAAGAAAAACATGTCATGTAGGTTGTCTAAAAATAAAATGCATTTAAACTAAAAAAAAAAAAAAAAAAAAAAAAAAACCCTGAGACTGGGTAATTTAGAAAGACAATAGATTTCTTTATCTTGTGGTTCTGTAGGCTGAGAAGTTCAAGGGCATGGCCCTGGTTTCTGGCAAGGGCTTTTGTGCTGTGTCACAACATAGTGGAAAAGGTCAAAGAGAAAGTGGACACGTGCAAAGAGGGGAAAACCTGAGTGGCATCCTGGCTTTATAACAACCCACTGTCGCAGGAACTGATCCATTCCTGAGAGAACTAATCCAGTCTTGTGAGATGGAGAATTCACTCACTCCTGCAAGACTGGCACCAAGCCTTTCATGAAGGATCCACCCCCATGACCCAGACACCTCCCACTAGGACCCACCTTCCAACATTTGGAGATCAAATTTCAACATGAGTTTTGATGGAGACAAATAAACCACATCCAAACCATAGCACAGGGATTGCTAAATACCCCAACAACAGAAATAGAAAGCTCCCCTAAACACCTTCCTTAACTGAGACCTAGCTGTCTCTGGAGAACCCCACTTCTCCTGTAGGCCTTTCCTCAGAGATTCTTTCACTCCTCCAAATACTTCTGCATCTGGAGGTGGAGCGGGCCCCTTCTTTGCTGCCCACTGCACCTTCCAGACCATGACCGCTGTACCTCTCAGGCACTTCCCTTCATTCTATCCTTTTGCCCACCCCCTAGTCTTGCCCAAATCCAAATCACTTCAACATTCATGTGGAAGATCTATCCCACATCCCATGCTTCTTGTTTCTTCAGCCTCCTCACCTCTGTTGGCCTCCCTTTCTGCTCCAGTCACCCACTCTTAGGGCCTCGAGTGGATCTTGCGATGGCCCAGAACTGCTGTACCACTGAAATCTTAACTTCAATCCCCACAACCTCACATCTTTCTAACTTTCCCATCTGATTACTTCATTACACTGTTCAACTTTGTTGAGACTTATATGAGCGCATCACAAAAGAAGAAATCCCAACATCCAATAAACATGGAAAGGTGCTTAACCTCATCTACCGTCAGGGAAATGAGGAATGAGGGAGAATGGGGCATGAGGAAGGAGCATGAGAAAACTTTTTGAGGTAATAGATATGTGCATTATCTTGATTGTGGCTCTGGTTTCAAGGATGTTTACTAATCAAATCATCACTTAAAACATATGCAGTTTGTTGCACATCAATTATATATCAATAAAGTTGTAAAATATACACACACATATGGCCCGGTGCAGTGGCTCACACCTGTAATCCCAGAACTTTGGGAGACCAAGGTGGGTGGATCACCTGAGGTCAGGAGTTCGAGACCAGCCTGACCAACATGCGATGAAACCCGTCTCTAACTAAAATACAAAACTTGCGGCATTGGTGGCGCATGCTGTATCCAGCACTGTGGGAGTGCTGAGACAGGAACTTTGCTTGAACCCAGTTGAGGGGAGGTTGCAAGGCGACCGAAGATCGCACCATTGCACTCCAGCCCTGGAAACAAGAGTGAACTCCGATCTCAAAAAAAAACAAAAGTTACTATACACAGACACACGACCCAACAGACATACCATTTCACACTATGCCAGACTGGCAAATCTTTTTAAAACAGTCTGATGTACGAATTAGTGTTGAGGAAGATGTAGAAGGAGTAGAGAATGCTCATACACTGCCGAATAGGCGCTATTGATTGGCTTCAACAACTGGGAAAGACAATTGTCATTATCTATTAAAGTTAAAGATACACATCGTCCAAGAAACCCAGCAATCTCCATTCTAGGTATATAGTCCTAGAGAAAAGTGTCCAGTACTTTACTCGAAAGATATATAGGCCAGGGTCGTGACCCGCACGCCTATAATCACAATCCCCACTTTTGGGAGGCTGATGCCTGGCCGGAGTATCACCTGAGGTCCATGAGTTTAGACCAGCCTGGCCAACACGGTGGAAACCCCATCTCTACTAAAAATACAAAAAAAAAAAAAAGTGCTGGATTATACTGGGTGGTGGCACGTGCCATGTACACCAGCATTCAGGAGGCCTGAGGCAAGAGAATCAGCTTGAACCCAGGAGGCAGAGGTGCATGACCATATTCCCACTGTCACTAGCCTGGCAACGAACAGACCTCATCACCAAAAAAGAAAAAAGAAAGAAAGAAAGAGAGAGAAGGGAGAGAGAGAGAGGAGAGAAAGAAAGAAAGAAAGAAAGAAAGAAAGAAAGAAGAAAAAAGAAGAAAGAAAGAAAGAAGAAAGAAAGAAAGAACGAAAGAAGATATATAAAGTTCAGGCATCATTGTACAAAACAGCCCTAATTGGAAAACCCAAAAGTCCATCAAGAGCAGAATGAAATAGATTGTGAATGCTATACAGAAATGACAATTAATACACCACGCGCCAGGCCCAGCTCCGTGCTCATGCCTGTAATCCCCGCAAACTCTTGGGAGGCCCGAGGCAGGTCGTCAATGAGGTCAGGAAGTTCGAGACTAGCTTGGGCAACAGGGTGAACGCCCGTCTCTACTAAAATACAAAAATTCAGCCAGCATGGTGCGGGCACCTGTATCCCACTAATCAGGAGGCTGAGGCAGGAAGATCTCTTGAACCCGGGAGGCAGAGTTGCAGGAGCTGACCACTGTGATCAACGCACTCCAGCATAGGTGACAGAGGAAACCTCAGTCTCCAAAAAAAAAAAAAAAAAAAAACGCTACGCACACAGCAGCTGTAATAAGAATCATGCAAATATGAAGTGAGTGAAAGAGACACAAAGGAATACAATACAGTGTTGATTCAATTTACATAAAATTCAAAACAAGCAAAACTAATTATGATTAGGAATGCACATATCAATCTGGGTGCACGTGGCTCTGCCAGTAATCCCAGCCTATTGGGAGGCCGGGCAAGGTGATCACTTGAGCCCAAGGTTCGAGACAACCCAGGCAAATGTGGCAAGACTCCATCTTCTAATCAAAAAAAATACATATTTAATACACTTTAAAAAGCTGAATGCCACATTTAATGATAAACTAAAAGAAAGCCAAGCTGGCACTGTGGCTCACACTTGTAATCCCAGCACTTTGAGGCCAAAGGCAGGAGGAATCACTGAGGCAGAATATACGTCTGAGGCAGGGAACTAAGGCTGTTTTCACGCTGACTTCCTAAAAACTAAATTGAAAGGAAAACCCTAACTATTCCACGCCTGGCTACACCCTTGCAAACTCCACCTTTTCTGCAGATGGAAAAATGAAAAGTACCTCTGATTAGTTGCTTTTTCAACCAATCTAGACTGCATAGGAGTAATGACTTTGTACTTTACTTCAGCCTCTGATTGGTTGCTGTCCACAGCCAATCGACTGATTGGTGGACCAAGTCTCATTTGCGCATAGACGTTTCAACTTTGTAACTTCACATCAGTCTCTGGATTCGCAGGCCACCCTTCATATTACATGGTAACAACAAGTGGCCCAATCGGAAACCTCTGGGGGTATGTATGGATCCAGAAGATTCTATATCCAGGCCCTTGAGTGGTTGCCTCAGGCCCACTGCCTACCCTGTGAAGTGTACTTTTTGTTCCAAATAAATCTTTCGTTTTTGTTGCTTCGTTCTTTCCTTGCTTTGTTTGTGTTTTGTCCAATTTTTGTTCAAAATGCTAAGAACCTGGAA